ACACAGCCAAATGCGGCCCAACTCCATATAGAAAAAGTGCTGATTAAGACAAACTTCAAGATTGCCAATGGCTATTAAATTTCTTTAGTTCTATCTTCACAACAATGATGCCAAGAATTGAAAAGATGTTTAACACAGATAAACAGAAGAAGATAGCAGGTAGGGTGCTTGCCTTGCATGCAGCCAACCAGGGTTCAATCCCTGGCATCTCCCTATGGTCCCCTGAGCCTCCAAGATGATCCCTACACATAGAGTCAGGAGAAATCCCTGAGTACCGCCAGGTGTTGCCCCCATACCAAAAAAGAATAAAAAAAATATATATGAGGAAAGACCTGTATATTCTAGAAAGATCTCCATTAAATTGAATTTTAAAGTATATAATTTTATATAATGTATGACGTTTTATAATTAAAATGGGAAATATGATTGGTTTTAAAAGAAGAAATGCACTCAATACTACAATACCTCTCTGGTCACTTCTGATACAATCTGTAAACCACAGTTTGGTTGCACTTTCCTGCTTTACTGATGACATTAATTCCAAATCCTGCCTAAATATAAATATATTTATTTATTTCCATAAAATGTAGAAAAGAGAAGAAGGACAACTGCTTGTACCTAACATAAAACTAGAGCACAGGTTGTCCCAACTATGATAAATGAAAGATCACCTTGGAATATAATTCATTTTTAATTGCCTCCTCCATCTAATCTAACTACCGCTGTAGGCTGTCTTAAAATATTTACAAAGTAAAAGCAAAAAAAAAGAATTGGAGATACTAAATGAAGCGGACCACACATTCCTAAGTGATCAATTTTTCTGGCATTGTTTACAACAGGAACCAGGTCATAACTCATAGAAGGAATTTCGGGAAGCATATGCAAAAAATGTATATTTGAAGAATATCTTTCTGAGTGTTAAACCTGCCTGTTTAATAGATATTTAATTGCTATTTAAGAGTGTGTCTGCTTCATGTGCAAAATCTGATCAGTTGCTACATGTACATAGAGCAAAAAGATGACTATACAAAATTTATTTATAAGCATCTACCAAGATCCATGGTTTTATATTTATCCTGTTATAAGAACTTTTAATAACTTTTTTCCGAACAACTCCCATGGATGGACACTGAGAGTATTACTAACTACAGTTCCATGTTGGACATTATATCTCAAGACTCATCTTAGAGCTTTTACCTTAAAACTGTATTTTTGGGGGTGGAGCAATATCACAGCGGGTAGGGCACTTTCCTTGCACACGCCCAACCTGGGTTTGATTCCCAGCATCCCACCAGGAATAATTCCTGAGTGCAGAGCCAAAAGTAACCCCTGTATATCACTATGACCCAAAAAACAAAAAAAAAACCCTGTATTTTCTTTTTGTTCACTTTCTAACACTATTACCCAGGTTTCTCCCCCCCTTCTTTTTTACAACATCACTGTGAGACACTCAGTTACAAAGTTGTTCACCATTGGGTTTCAGTCATACAATGTTCCAACACCCATCCGTTCACCTGTGTACATTTCCCAGAACCAATGTCCCCAGTTTCTCTCCCTTCATCCCCCTTCAGCCTGCCTCTGCAGGAAGCAATTTTCCTTCCTTCATTCCCCCCCTCTTTGTCCCTCCCCCTCCCCCACCAGTCCCCTGCACTACACCTCTCCAATCCACAGTCTCTCTCCTCTCTCTCTCTCTCCCCCTCCTCGCTCCTTCCCTCCTCCCCCCCCTTTAGGCAGTAAGATTTGCAATGCTATTACTAAAAAGGTATCAGCACTAGGTTCCTGTCCAGAGTGATCATTTTCAACTATCATTGTCATAGTGGTTCCTTCTCTGTCCTAACTTAACTCCCACACCTCGATCCACTTGTACAACCATGGACCAGTCCTCCTCGCCCATCTCCTTCTACCATCACTGGTTATTATTCTCATGTTATGTTTTGTCTTTACCCTACAAATGAGTGCAATCATTCTATGTCTGTCCCTCTCCGACTCATTTCATTCAGCATGATACTCTGTGTGTTCAGGTAGAAGCAAATTTCATGACTTCATTTTACTTAGCAGCTGCATAGTATTCCAATTGTGTAGATGTACCATAGTTTCTTTACCAGTCATCTGTTCTTGGACACTTGAGTTGTTTACAGATATTGGTGATTGTGAATATTGCTGCAATGAACACAGAGGTATATTCCCAGGAGTGGCACTGCTAGGTTATATGGAGGCTCAGTTTCTAATTTTTTAATGAATATGCACATTGTTTTCCAAAAAGGCTGAACCAGTCAGCATTCCAACAAGCAATTAATGAGAGTCTCTTCCTCCCTGTGTCTGTGTTATCACTAGTTGTTCATGTTCTTTTTGATGTGTGCCAGTCTCTGTGGTGTGAGATATCTAATTTTTGTTTGATTAGCATCTCCCTGATGATTAATGATTTATTTATGTGTTTTGGCCATTTGTATTACTTCTCTGATGAAGTTTCTGTTGATTTCATACCCCCACTCCCATATTTTCATGGGATTGGAATTTTTTTCTTGTAAAGTTCTACTCGTGCCTTATATATCTTTGATATTAATCCTTTATCAAATAGGTGTTCAGTAAATAACTGGTCCCATTCTATGGGCTGTCTTTGTATCCTGGTCATCATTTCCTTTGAGGTGAAGAAGCTTCTTGGTTTAATGCAGTTCCATTTGTTTATCTTTGCTTCCACTTGCTTGGCCAGTGGTGTTTCATCCTTGAAAAGGCCTTTCACTTCAATGTCATGGAGAGTTCTGCCTATGTTTTCCTCTATATACCTTATGGATTCAGGTCTGATATCATGGTCTTTAATCCATTCTGATTTGACTTTTGTGCATGCATGGCTTTAGAATGAGGTCTAAGTTCTCTCTTTCTTTTACATGTAGCTGACCAGTTTTACAACACAATGTCACTGCTCTATTTCATATTTGCTCCATTATCAAAGATTAATCATATACCTGAGGATTTGGCTCAGGATATTCAACTCTATTCTATTTATCTGAGGGTTTGTCTTCAATCCGATATGATGCTATTTTGATTACTACCACTTTGTAGTACAGTTTGAAGTTGAGGAAAATGATGCCTGTCGTTTTCTTTTTCTCAAGGATTGCATTAGCTACTTGGGGGTGGGGTTACTGATCCATATGAATTTCTGTAATGTTTGATCTATTTCTTTAAAAATGATATGAGTGGAGAGTATCACGCTAAGTGAAATGAGTCAGAAAGAGAGGGACAGGCATAGAAGGACTGCACTCATTGTGGAGTACAGAATAATATAACATGAGGCTGACATCCAAGGACAGTAGATACAAGGGCCAGGAGGATTGCCCCATGGCTGGAAGCCTGCCTCATGAGTGGAGGGGAGAAGGAATATGGAATAGAGAAGGGATCCCTAAGAGAATGGTGGCTGGAGGAATCAGTCAGGATGGGAGATGCGTGCCAAAAGTAGATAATGGACCAAACATGATGACCTCTCAATGTCTGTATTGCAAACCATAATGCCCAAAAATAGAAAGAGAGAGTCTGGGGAATATTGTCTGCCATAGAGGTGGGGGAGGGTGGAGAAGGGGGTTTATACTGGGAAGATTGGTGGTGGGGGGAATGTGCACTGGTAGAGGGATGGGTGTTTGATCATTGTGTGACTGTAACCCAAACATGAAAACTTGTAAATTTCTCATTGTGATTCAATAAAATTTAAAAAAAAATAAAAAATTAAAAGATAAATAAATATAAAAATGATGTGAGTACTGTTGTAGAAACTGCACTGAATCTGTACATTGCTTTGGGGAATATTGTCATTTTTATGATATTAATCCTCCCAGTGCATGAGCAGGGGTTGTGTTTCCATTTCCTGCGTCCTCTTTTATTTCTTGAAGTAGTGTCTTAAAGCTGTTTATAATGTATCCTCCCTATCTTGGGAAGAGTTTAAGTATCCATACTATATAAAATAACCAGCTATAATAAACAAAAAAGCTGCAAAAGGCGCTAGAGAGATCAGTATTCTAAATCTATACTGCTTTACATAATTGTGAGGCTTTAATTTGCCTACTTTCTCTCATTTCCTCCAGAATCCTAGGTATTTCTAGCAAAATATTCATGTTCACATACTTTTCTCATCAGTCTCTTTTTTGAACTTAAAAAAAACCTGCAGAGTCTAACTAAAAATGACATACTTAAAATGTATAAAATGCCTCAATGTAAATGTGTTAACAAATACCCAGTCATCTTTACTACCAGTAATATATATATAATAAAGTTTTTTAATATTACCATTTTATTCACTGCAAACTAAATTTTGATATCAGTTAGCCTTTGGGAAGTTGCATTTGGAGACACATAAAGAAATGTGAAATTACAATTTCACTTAGACATAGGCATTCCCAATATAATGCAAAAGAAACACTTCATGCTAAATATAAATATGCTTCTTCAAAGAGATGCCAACCATTATTTATAGTCCCTTAAATCCTGGGTTCTCATGCGACAGAAAAGCCTCTGATCAATACTGCCTATTTTATTTTGGTTTGGATACACTAGTGAAAAAATGGGAAGGAAATATAATAAATATTAAAGCCTAAAATACACATATTTCAGAGGGTCCATGCTGGATCCTCAACTAAGGATGATTTAGACAAATGACACATTATTTCGATTATAATTAGGAATAATATAACCCTCAACATCTGTGAACTTCTGTTGTACTTCCAGACAACTAGAAGATATATTCTTGGGAATAACAAGGTGAATAAGAAAAATCAGGACTCATGAAACAGTCACTGCCAATGTTTAGACTTACTCAAAGGAAGGCACCATAAGTTGCTATTGTATTGTAAAAATATACATTCTGCACTGTGATAATACTCAGCACAGTCTAAAAATTAGATGAAAATAAAATGTACTTCTAGTAGTCCAATTTTTGGCACATTTTCACAAGAAGTTCATAGCAAACAATTCTTTGTTGACAACAGCACTTAACCAGAGGACCTATGCATTACCTTTGTTTCAGATTGAGCCATGAGGTTTTCAAGTAGTCAGTGGTTTCCTTCACATTCCGAGTGTCATCATTGCCATAATCTTCTAGCAATTTCTGAAGAACATTCTCAAAGGCCATTACAACACTATCCCCAGGCCCCAGTTCTTGAAGCAGCATCTAAGGTATAATTTCAGGTATAATTGTTAGACTTAATTACCCAGTACCTCATATTACAAAACACCCCTGTATGTTTTAACATATATTAGACACAGCTCAAAGAAAGAAAGTGACTAGATAAACTATTTCATATAAGCTTAAACTGAAATAATCTTAGAAGTAAATATAAAAATGTTTAAGAAAGTGATCAAGTACATAGCAGATGATATTCAATGATTACCATCTTGTTGCATTTGCAATCCTTTATATGCCTGAGCCATTAATCTTTTCAGTCCTTCTGCTATAAACCTGGGCATTATGGGAACAATCAACATACAGCAGTGGACTTAGAGCAGAGAACTTCTTTATTTACGTGGAGAAATGGAAAGGGTGACGATTTTGAAGTCTCTCAACCCGGATGATCACATTTTACAAAATTAACTACTTGGACAATTCAATCAGTCAAGCAAGGTGTGCTGAGAGGTCTCTGAATAACTACACTGATATTGAGTATGTCAGTGAGCCTTACTTAGTTTCTTGATACATTCCTTCATCTATAAGAGCTCCGAGGTCAAGTGATTTCCCTTTAACAAAATCTGTGATGAATTATGCTGTGATTATTTTATAGCCACTAGCATTACATTTTGCTCTAAAGTTTCAGAATAAAGAATCCATAATGCTGAGAAGCAAAGAGAATTCCAAATAGGATGAATGAAACACTGATAGTACTTTTAATTGCATTTTCCTAGTTAGGAATCCAGGGGGGGTTGCTGCACTGGAGTCATTCAGTGAAAAAAATCTAGAAATGTATTAAATGCAAAAAATGATCTAGGAAACCAGAGTACATGGCCACTTGCTTTCTAAATTACAACCATGGGATATCTAAATACATGATGAATAAAAGCGCATTCTCATGGTTTAAATTTTTTCCCATACATTCTTTATTATATTCTTTACAAATTCATACTTTCATACCTTCCTCCTAGGCTATCTGAAGGGCAAATAAAAATGTTATACTAAAATATAACCTAACAATCAAAAGTCTAATTCAAAAATATTTTCTATGATTATAATGGGAATTGAAAACAGCACTTAAAAAATACTTAAAATGTGCAATTTCATCATCTGTGTTATCAAACTAACACAAGAAAAGAAACATGTAATGATGATATTGATAAATCATCCTGTCAACATGGTTATACAGATATCAAAAGAAACTAAACTTACTTACTACACAATGCCTTCACTACAAGCCTTCAAATGAAAGTTTCAGAAAAATCCCATAAATGAAAAAAACCCTTGAAGGCAGAGATGGAATCTGAAGCATAGGTCTTGGGATCCTAAAACTATTCTTCCTAGATGCTGGTTCACACATGTGTTCTAATTGCTTATGATCAGTGAGCATATAACATATATGTTTTTATTTATTTCACCCCAGAACTTCCATAAACAGAATCTAGTCAAAATTTTATATACATTTCAGTTAGCCTATAAACTTGGAAAAACATCAAGTCAAGTCAAGGAATCTAAAAATACAATTAGGGGGCTGGAGTGATAGCACAGTAGGTAGAGTGTTTGCCTTGCACACAGTAGACTCGGGTTCGATTCCCAGCATCTCATATGATCCTCCGAGCAATGGCAGGAATGGCACTTTCCTGAGTGCAGAGCCAGGAGTAACCCCTGTGCATCATCACCGGGTGTAACCCAAAAAACACACACACACAAACACACACATACACACACACACACACACACACACACTAATAATAATTAGTGATGAAGAGAAAAATAAGTGACAAATTGAGTTCCTAAAAGGTCTCTAATGAGTCTTACTTGGTTCTCAGCGATCTGTTTGATTAGCGGCTCCCTTCGGGCCTGCTGAAGAACATAGAGCTGAGCCTCGTGTTTTCTCAGAAGTTCCTCAGTTTCCTCCTTGTGGTCTTCCCACTGAATACTGTCGATGATCATGTCCTCCAGTTGCTGCTGTCTTAGCTCAACACCATGCTGAGTACCATCCCATTGGTTCTTGACCTTTTCCACTAGGGGAGGAATTGAAAAATAGGATCCCCCAATGTCACTATTAGGAAAGGGAAACATATCTAATACAAAAGGATCTTAAATAAAGCTGGATCATTTCGCTTAACATGATACTTTCCATGTTCATCAGGGGAACATAAAGTAACAAAATAGGAGACTAACACCCAAGAATGGCTGACATTAGTACCAAGAATTTTGCTCCCTGTCTTGGAGGCCAGCCACACATGCTAGGGGAAAAGGCAGCTCAGATAGAGAAGGGAACACCAAATAAAGGGTGTTGGGAGGATCCTCCCAGGATGGGAGAAGCATGCTGAAACTAGACCATAGACCAAACCTGATTGTCACCCATTGTCTCTTTTGCAAACCACAACACCCAATAAGAGAGAGAGAGAGAACAAAAGGGAATGCCCTGCCACAGAGGCAGGGTGGGCTGGGAGGGATGGGGGTGGGAGGGATACTGGGATTCATGGTGGTGGGAAATGGGCACTGGTGGAGGGATGGGTATCTGATCATTGTATAATTGAAACCCAAGCACAAAATTTGTAAGTCTATAACTGTACCTCATGGTATTTCACTAATAAAAAAAAATAATAATAAAGCTGGAATCAGAAAGAGAAAGAGGGCAAGTTGATACTATAATTTTATAGAATTTTAATACATATCTGCCGTGCTGAAACTACTATTTAAGAAAAATCTTGTATTAAATTCTATTGCAAATGCACGAAAGATATTTTACAAGGAAGGAACTAGTGAGAGAGTACATGAATAGGGCACTGGCCTTGCACGAGGCTGACGCATGTTCAATCCTGTGCATCCCATACGAACACCTGAGCCCCACCAGGAGTAATCCCTGAGCAAAAGATCAGGAGTAAGCCCTGAGCACAGCTGGGTGTGGCCCCAAAGCAAAAGTAAAAACAATCCATTTACAATGAAAATATCTATTTCTAAAAACTTAACAAAAAATATAGAGAAAATAAATTTCATGTCTGGTTTGACAAAGGTAGAGTTTAAGAGAACTTTGTGATAAATTTTTAAGGCATAATAACATCCTCAAAAGGAGAACTGAGTTCTTATTATAAAACAAACCAAACTATTGAAAATAGCTTACATATTTATTTTACTATGTGATTCAATTATTTTACTCTGTGATTAAATTTCTCTAAAAGCAATATTTTTTAAGTACTCAGGTTCACAAGGTGTTGGATTCGAGTGCTATATATATATATATATATACATACATATATACACATATTATATATATATATAGCAGCTCTTCATCATTATAAAAAATAGCTATGTAAATGCTTCCCTTCCCTATTGTTATTTTTCTTTGTCATTTTTATTTTTTTTTTACTCCACCCTTTTTGTCTTTTTTTTTTTCCTGTGCCTTCCCTTTCTGTCTCTCCTCTGACTTAGCAAATGAGTTAAGAAAAGAGAGCTCTAAGGAAACAAACTTTTGATTAATAGGTTTGGGAGCAACCCTTAACACTGACTACAGGGTTTGTAATCAATAGCTTTGAATATTCTCAAAAAAACTATTGATCAAACATAAGTGAAAAGGAAAACAATCATCTAGAGAATGCTCTGGATGCCACATAGACTATAGCAGGTAGTTAAATACCAGATGCAAGAAAAACAGCTACAAGTTAACATTCCAACTCAGCTATGATGGGACTTATTGGTAAAATTCTTGGAAAAATAAAATTATTTAATATATTAATTAATTTCAGTATTAATTAAATGAAAGCACCCATCAGAGACAACAGGATGCAGAAGATGCAATGTCTATAGATACTGAAATACACCTAGGCTATTTTGGAAACTGGAAACCAGTTCTTTATAACAACATGGACAGATCTGGTAAGCATAAGGTTGAGTAAAGTAAGTCAAAGCCAAATACTACATGGCTTCACTCATGAGTGGAAGAAAGAGAAAAACTAATAAACAAACAAGAAAACAAACAAACAAAAAAAAACCTTAGACAACTAAAACAAAACAGTAGTTACCTAAGGGGAAGAGGGAAATAGAGTAGGCAAATTGAGTGAAAGAGACCAGCAGTAGGGTAGAAACTGAACTCATCATGGTTAATATAGCGGAATCTATGTAAATGTAATGCTGTATATATCAGTTCTCTAAGTTATAAGTGAATATTCAATATATTGTTTTTAAAGAATCATACATTGTGTGTTCAAAAAGTGTGAGTACGCATAATGTGTGTTCCGTGGTCAAGAGCAGCTTCCCCATCCCCCATGGCTGAGAAGAGATGGACCTGAAGAAGGGAACAGGATGACAACCTGTTGCTGATCAGTTGTCATTTATTCCAATGCCCGTCCTGCTGTTTATTCCATTCTCCCTGTGAGCTTCTTTCAGTCTCATTCTGTCCCCCATTCTAGCCTCACACTCTGCCCTCCCCCCTTCTCCCAAGGTTAGTTAAGAGGGGAAAAGCTCAAGGGTTGGGCATAGCAAATACACATAGATGTGGTAGCACAATCAAGATACGTAAATCCCTTCCAGGAAGCTTCTAGGACAAAATCTCATCCTGCTAGGAGATCCACCCAAGGGTAGAATTCCATCTAAGGTGTATTACTTTCTCTTTCCTTACCCAGCATTCATTTACAAAGTCATCTTAAATTTACTTCTTATTAATATTTCTGGGCTGGAGCGATAGCACAGCAGGGAGGGCGTTTGCCTTGCACACAGTCGACCTGGCTAATCCAAGTTCAATTCCTTCACCTTTGGTTCCTCCGCCCCTCTCAGAGAGCCCAGCAAGCTACCGAGAGTATCTTGCCTGCACTGCAAAACCTGGCAAGCTACCCATGACGTATTCGATATGCCAAACACAGTAACAACAAGTCTCACTATGTTACTGGGTCCGCTCGAGCAAATAGATGAACAACGGGAGGACAGTGACAGTGACTAATATTTCTAATCACTGAGCTTAAAGGGTGGCTCTTCCTGGGGACATCTCACTATATATCCTAGACTACAATCCTCAGGCCAGGTTAGTCTTTCATAACCCAGTTACATCCTTTTGGATCATGGTCAGTTTGTCAGTCACCATGCTCTTAACTTATTATATGTTTTATGGCACTTGGCCTGTCCCTTTTTGATGTCAGGGTAGCTTACAGATTGTCCCTTTTCAATGCTTGGATAACTTACGGCTTGCCCTGGGTATATCCAAGTCCCTTGCTGGGACCCTCTTTTTGGGATAATAGAAACTAAGGTCAACTGAGGCTTAAATTGATTAAATATGACAGGTGTAAATATTATTTGGAGTCAATTAACTCGCAAGTTACAAAAGCATAGCATTAATAGTCTTCCTGTGCCTATACAAAAAGGACAGTGCTCTAAAATAAAATATGCAGGACATAAAGGACAGAGAAAGGCAATATTTCACTTACAAATACAAAATCCAGAATCCTCTGAAGAATCTAGATTTACAAGTCATAGGGTCTGATTTGGGGATATAACAATTAACAGGGGAACAGGAGCACAAAGGAGAAACTAAACACCGAGGACATGGGAGTGCTTCAGGAGCACTATATTGGGTGTTACTCAATAAACCTACGCTCCTTGCAACAGAGGAGAAAGGATGAACCAATGTTAAGCCTAAAATTCCTAGAACTATAATCCAACAATATGATAACACAATTATTTTAAATATTTCCCCCAAAGTAAAAAGAAATGTATATATATATAAATGTACACATATATGTATGAATATATGGTATTTAGTAATGATCAAATTTATCAATTTAAGTATGTTTAGAAAAATGAAATTACATGTAATTAATTATTAGAATTTCTCAATTGTCTAATGTTTTATCCCTCTTGGTTTGTACTTTATATTAATTTTTAGGGTTTTCAGCTTGAGAACAAATTGAAAGTACTTGTGACCAGTTTCATCAGTAATTGAATCACTTAGTATTATGTTACTTAGTTAATATGACTTTAGTTAATATAACTGTCTAATATAACTAAATATGTCAGGAGACAGTAAAAATCAACAGACTCATCATAAAAATAAACAAATTAACATAGTTCGTGTGGATGATGCTAACATTCCATTACTGTTAGTAAATTACAGCTTAAACTAGTACTTTGTTTTGGGGTCACACCGGAGGGTGCTCAGGGATTTCTCCTGGTTCCGCACTCAGGGATTGCTCCTGGCGGTGCTTGGGGGAACAAGTTGGGTGCTGGGGATCGAACCTGGGTCTGATGTGGGTAAGACAAACACCCCTTCTCAGCTGTACTATTGCTCAGTCCCCTGAAACTGGTTTCTAATATAGTGAACAGTGAGGAAGACCATGAAGAATTCACACCAAAGAATAAACAAAGAAAGAGACACTTACGGAAGAGAGTAATAAATTAAAAATTGGAAAGGAAACATTTGGAAGAAGAAGAGCTTATTTTTAAAATTTTAGAAATTCTGGATAGAAATATCATGGAAAGAACAAATATTAGGGGGGAGGAAGACAAAAGAGAAATGGCTTTGTAAATAGTTTAACTGTCATCTGGTAGAAAATAGGAACATTCCAGAGTTCCACACAGGCAATTAATAGTGAGGGTAAAAAGAGAGAATGCCTAATTTCTAGTAAATATTATTCTCTGCTGACCATCACTTTTCATAGCTTTGTTGCTGCCTCATTGATTTTGAAATAGAAATATTTTTTTTTCTGAAGGGAAGACTGGACTTTTTTCTCTTTAGAAACATTAGGCAAAGCCAAAAAAAAAATCTTTCATATTCTGCCACAAATATTTGTTAAGTGCCTGATCTATGCTGGGCTCTACGGGAGGTCCTGCGGGAGGAAGGTGAGCACTCCCCATCCATGGGAGGGAGTGAGAATTAAAGTACTTGTGAGCTCTACAGTGAAATGATGAGGGAAAAGGTCACGGCAGGAACTAAAGATAGAAAATATAGTTCACCAGGGATGAGAGAAGGTAGGGATGAGAGAAGGTGGGAAAGACTTCACAGAGAGGGTGACATTTTAGCTACCGAGTAGAATTTCACCCGGAGACAAGAAGGCCAAGAGAAAAAAATTATTAATGGGGTTAAAGGGAAGGAGATCAAAAAATGTCAGAATATTTTTAAGAACATATGTAGTACAGAAGGGCCACAGACAAGGCTAAGGCTCTAGGGAAAGGATGATGAAGCCAGACTGACCAGCCCCATGACGGTTCTGAGGACTGGGCTTCACCCACCACAGAAACTTAACGGGAGATTTAAAAAAATAGTAGGGAGATGGAAACAACGTGGGGAGGGAAGGGATGGGATGGGGGAGAAGAAACGGATGAGAAACAACTGAGGCCAGGTCAGAGGAGTCAGGTACAAAGGTGGTTAAGGAATGATCGAGCTAAATATCCAAACCATGAAGTCAACAACACTAAAATCAACAGATGAATTCTTTCACAACGGTACTTAGAAAGGTGCTTGTCAGGAGGGCAAGGATATGGGAGGGAACCTGGGAACACTTGATGGAGGGAAGTTGACACTGGTGGTGGGAATGATGTTGCAATAGTGTATGTCTAAAACTCGATCATGAATAACTTTGTAAATCGCAGTGCTTTAATTTAAAAATGTGGTGGGAAATGGGCACTGGTGGAGCGATGGGGATTTGATCACTGTATAATTGAAATCCAAGCACAACAATTTGTAAGTCTACAACTGTACCTCATGGTGTCTCACTAATAAAAATTTAATAAATAAATAAATAAAAATGTGGAGAAAATTTTAACTGAGTCATCATAAATTACAACATTACTGAGATATTTATGATTGGGTTTCGGGCGTATATTGTCCCAGCACTAATCCCTTCCCCAGTGCTCACTACCTTCCACCATTATCCTCAATTTCCCCCGAGGAGCCCCAGTCTGACTCTGTGGCAGGTACTTTTCCCTTCCCCCAATGTCCGAGTGTTCCACTCCTTAATTTATTCCCACCCCTGCCCCAGTGACAAGCTTCTGTTGAAAGGAGTTTTTTTTATGCCAGAAAGCAAATTCAAAATAGCAATCAATGCTTTTATTATTGTGTATGGTCTTCTTTTTTTTTGGTTTTACTTTGTGTTAAATAAAATATTCCCTTTTTAGTGGCAGGCACAATGGTATAAGTTATTGTTCAATAAATACTTGGGGAATACATATTGAGGAGATGAGTTAAAATCAAAATGACAAGATCTTCGTTGAGAGAATAAAATAGGAGAGGGACTTGCATTTCCATGGGTTTCTCTAACTCTGGAGGTTTAGATGTTTTTCTCAGTTTCTCTTAAAATAATTATGACATTTACAAGAGAAAAATATCTAAGGTATCGGCTCTTCAGTCATTAGTTATAAGTAATGTTAATAATTTAAAGAATTATAAGGGGATCATGTTAATGTTAACAAAAATGATAAAGCTAATTAGATAAGGTTAAGTTTATTAATATATAAGGAAACCAAATAATATTCATTTTCAACTGTATAATATTTGTACATGTATGTGTGTATTTGGGGAAAAAGTGGCTAATCATTTATAATGAATGTTACAATTTTTAACTTACATTTTTCTGTGATTGCTGTTCTCACATCAGAACTGGAAGCTTTATTTTTCAAATTCTGTGCCAATGTAAAAACATAGTCGAGTTGAGGATGGCGTTGTTCCAAATCAGCCTTTGTGATCTGTTAGGAAGAAATAATTACTCAGATGGTTTGAATAATCATGTAAGAAGAACATGAAGGAAGCAAAACTGCTGTGCTGACATCTCAGTTGTTTTTTACTCTTATGCTGGCAATGAGGCATCAGCAATGCAGCAGAAAAAGTACAGGGCCTGAAGTCAAAAGTTCTGAGTTCACAATACAGTAAGATAAGGCAGCAGGTTACAAAATTAACACACAATACCTGTGGCATTCCTGTATGCAATTAACTAGAATTAAAAGAAAATTTTAAAAAAAAAAAGGCAATCTTGTTCAAAACATTGCCCCTTGGAGGCCCAAGAGATACTATAACAGGTAAGACAGTTGCCCTGCACACAGTTGACCCAGGTTAGATCCTGGCATCGCATATGGTCCCATGAGCACTGCCAGCAGAAATACCTAAGTTCAGAGCCAGGAGTAACCCCAGAGCATTGCCAGGTGTGACCCCTCCATCCTCTCCCCAAAAAATTAAAACAGTGCCCCCAAACATCAATACCTAATCATCAATTTAACAAGGGAGATGAAAGACATATACAATAAAAACCATAAATCACTGCTAAAAACAAATGGAAGAGGACACCAAAAATGGAAAGATGGTACCTAATCATGGATAGGAAGAATTAACTTTCTCAAAATGACTTCTTCTTATCAAAAGTATTTTACAGTACTTAATGCAATGCCCATTAAAATGAAATACCTAAAGTGCTTCATGCAACACAATAAAATTTCATGATGTTCTTTAAAGACTTAGAACAGGGGCTGGAAGGATAACACAGCAGGTAGGGCATTTGCCTTGCACACAGCCGACCTGGGTTCAATTCCCAGCATCCCATATGGTCCCCTGAGCACCACCAGGGGTAATTCTTGAGTGCATGAGCCAGGAGTAACTCCTGTACATCACTGGGTGTGACTCAAAAAGAAAAAAAATACTAAGAACAAATGCCACTAAAACGTATATAAAACCTAAAACTCCCTGAACAGCTAAAGTAATCCTAAGAAAATATAAGGAGATGGAGGCATTTTCCGTTCTAACTGTAAACTAACTTTAAACTAAACTACGAAGTTGTTATAATCAAAACTGCATGGTATTGGATAGACACATAGAACAGTAAAACAGAACTGAGAGTGAAGTTGAACCCCCAAATTTATGGGCAGTTAATCTATGACAAAGGAGTTAAGTGCATAAAGTGGGGCAAAAAATCTCTTCCATAAATAGTATTGGGAAAACTGTACAGTCACATGTAAAAAAAAAATTGGAACTATGTCTCACACTTCTCACAAATATATCAAGGACCTTGAGATAAGATCAGAAACCATAAAATACATTGAAGAAAACAACCAAAACTCTCCATGAACTATTTTGAACTCAAACATGTGTATCAATAAGATGACTACAGAGGCACAAAAAAAAAAAAAGAAAAAGAAATCAACGGGAACAATTTATAAATAAATAAAGTTAAAAACCTCTACACATCCAAAAAAAACACACCTCAAACCATAATAAAAAGATTACCAACTGAAAAGGAGAAAATATTTGTATACAATGCATCAGATAAAGATGATAACCATAAACAAAGAATTTACAAAGTTCAACAACAACAACAACAACAACAAATCCTACATCCCCAACCAAACATGGGGATGAGAGAGTGAACAGAAACTTCTTCAATGAAGACATCCAGATGGCCAATAGGCATATGAAAAGGTGCTCATCATCATTTATGATTAGGGAAATGCAAATTAAAACATCACTGGGATATCATCTCACATCAGTGAAAATGAGCATTTATCAAAAAGTCTGGAAACAAACAATGTTGGCAAGTGTGTGGTGAGAATAGAACCCTCAATTCCTGTTGGTGGGAATGTTGTCCAGTTCAACCTCTATAGAAAGCATTATAGAAATCTAACCAAAAACAATGGGCACTGGTGGAGGGATGGGTGTTTGATCATTGTACAATTGAAACCCAAGCACAAAAATTTGTAAATCTACAACTGTACCTCATAGTGTTTCACTAACAAATTTTTTTTAAAAAAAATGTAAATGATGGAGAACGGGCACTGGTGGAGGGATGGGTACTGGATCATTGTGTAACTGAAACCCAAGCACAAAAATTTGTAAATATACAACTGTACCTCATGGTGTTTCACTAGTAAAAATTAAAAATAAATAAATAAATAAACGTGATTGTGGAGCATAAAAAGATAGGAATAGACAAAAATAGATGACTGGAGGAAGAAACTATGGTACAAATACACAATGGAATACTACACAGCATTAGGAAGACTGAAGTAATGACATTGCTTATAAATGAGTGGACATGGAGAGTATCATACTGAATGAAATGAGTCAGAAGGAGAGGGACAGTTACAGAATGACTGCATTTATTTGTGGGATATAAAAAGTATATATATATATATATATATATATATATATATATAATGAGACTGATATCCAAGGTCAGGGTAAACAGGGGCCAAGAAGATTGGTAAATGGTTGGAAGCGTACCACAAAAGTGTGGAGGGGAGGTGGAGGGAGCGGAGAAGCAAAGGGTAGTTAGGTTAGATAAGGGATCAGCATGACAATAAGAGTTGGAAATAATCATTTTGGATGGGAACTGACTGTTGAAAGTAGGTAAAGAGATATACCTGATAACCTTTCATTGTCTGTATTGCAAACCATAAGGTCCAAAAGGAAAGAAGAGAAAGAGAGAGAGAAAGACATAGAGAGGGGGGAGAGAGAGAGTGAGTGAGAGAGAGAGAGAGAGAGAAAGAGAGAGAGAGAAGAAAATTGCCTGCCATAGAGGCAGTCTGGTGTCAGGGAGTGGTGGGAGAGAAACTGGGGACATTGGTGGTGGAAAAAAATGTACACCTATGAAGGGACAGGTGTTGGAACACTGTATGACTGAAACCCAATTATGAACAACTTCGTAACTATGTATCTCACAGTGATTTCACTTCCTTTTGGCTTTTTTTTCACACAAAAAAAATAATAAAATGCTTAAAATTACAACTACCGAACCCAAGTAATTCCAGTGAAGAAAATCGCTTTGAAAACAAATAATACTCTGAAAACATGAGCAGCGATTACTTCTGTTGCTCGCACATCTGTTGTGCATCAGAGTTTCACACAAACTCATGTCACCTCAGGAAGGGGGTGAGCAATTAGAAAAATGCTAACTGGAACAACTTCAAACCCAATACTCTTTTTACATAAGAACAACAGATGTAGAAAGCTTGTGTTTCTTAACAAACTTGGGAGAAAAGTCGACATCAGGAAAATAGTATGCTTCAAGTATAGAATTTAAAAATAGCTACAGAGATCAGAAAATCTATACTCAGTACAAGGTATTAAAGATGCTCACCCAGCTCTTCCTCCTTATGAATTCACTGATTCTGAAGATTTACACGACTTCTCTGGTGTCAGAATGATTCCTAAATGGCTTGCTCACAGTATTTAATCCTGAATCCCAGAGCAGTATTTCTACAAATGTTGACCATTTTCTTCTAGGGGTGTAAGAACCTCTCAACGCAGCATATTCGAAATGAAACCAATCAAACCCTCACCTGAATTCTGTCTTCTCTATTCCCAGTTTTCCTGGATGGCAAAAGCAGCCTCCTGGCCACTCCAAAGGATTTTTCCATGCTTTAAGCATCTCTTTTCACCATTTAATCCAACTCGCTTGTTCCCTGTCAGCTGACTAAAATGGAACCTCACTCTCATTCATCTCTAATCACACTAAAAAGAGAAAAATTAAAGGGAACTAGATAATGGACAACAGTTATAGACTGCAGGTCCACAGGGCTTTGCATGGCCTGTAATTTAGTAAATTTGTTCACTGAACAAATTGGAGTTGTCTCTGCTATTTTACTGCCCACTATATTACTTTATGGAACAAATGTTAATTCACTTCACATCCCTTACATTCCCAGGCGTGTCTATAGTCACCTCACTTCACCAGGAATGTGACCAAATGTCAAAATCCCAAATAGGGTACCATCCATCAAATAGAAGTAAGAATCTTCCTCATCATCACTCACTGGCAGATCAGCAGGGCCAGCCTCTGAGCATCTTGACCTTGTCTGTACTAGTGACTTATTGATCTACAGGCATTTCCTACCTCTGCCTTGGTTTGGTGTAATAAAAGAAACAAGAGCCCCGTCACAATAATTGCTACAGTAGTGAATGAGAAAATACATGGAATATGCTTAAAATTCAGCATATAAATAGTTAAGAACAGTTAGCCAGCACTGTCACTGTTGTATGGTCCCAATTCCTATCGGACATTAACTTCAGCATCCTTTGATAATGCACAGCTTAGAACTATTGCACACTGAATAGGAACAAAGATCTTTAAAAACTTCTATTAGATGTATATGTCTACTCATCAACTGCGAGTTGGGAAATACCCTGTTTTAGCCAGCAAATAAATCAGCTCCCAGGGAAATAAAAATTGAAAAGGTACTTGAAGAAATCATCGCACTTCACTGGAGGCCTAAGTGTCACCCTAGTTTACAATGATGTGGACTTGACAGGCTGAGATCACTTTTAGATTTTGAGAATACATCAAGTCTACAACTCAGGTCTAAACACCTGATCTTACCAAAACTTAACTCACCTGGGAGGGCGGTTAGAAGAATAGTTTTTGTTGTTTTTGATGTTGATCTTTACTTTTTTTTTTTAAATCACTGTGAGACAGTCCCCTACAAAGCTGTTCATGATTAGGTTTCAGTCATACCATGTTCCAATACCCATCCTTCCAGCAGTGTAATTTCTCAGCACCAAGTGTTCCCAGGTTCCTTCCCATCACCTCTCAAACCCCCAGCCTGCCCATAAGGCAGGTGCTTTCTGTCTCTGTTTTCGTCTGTCTGTCTGTCTGTCTCTGTCTCTGCCTCGATCTCTCTGTCTCTGTTTCTGTCTGTCTTTGTCTCTGTATCTCTCTCTCTCTCTCTTTCTCTCTCTCTGTATGTATGAAATAAAAATTGAAATAAAAATTTGTAAACTTTTTATACATGTCATTGTAAACTAGGGTGACACTTAGGCCTATGGAGATGTGCAATGATTTCTTCAAGTACCTTTTCAATTTTTATTTCAATGTTTTAAAGCTAGCTTAAAAGGAAGCTAGCATCGTTTGCCTATCATGAAGACTCCAGGTTTGCCCATTTGTCTATGCACCGACCTTCATACGGGAAACCGTCTGGTTGATCTCCTGAACGTCCCCGACAGTGACAATGTTGGACTTCAGCATCTGGTCGATCAACACCAGCCAGTCAGCCAGCTCTGTTATCATCTTATCCAGGTCAGTGGGAATGGAACTGTCCGAGGTACGGTGAGACAGAACAGGCATCTCTGATGCAGAGGAGGCTAGCACCACCTTTTGGACGTTAGGAAGAGCTGAAATAGAATTGTTTATGAATAAATATGAATATATGAGTAAATCCACAAGCCAGCCTGACTGTGGTGGTGAAATGTGCGTGTCAGTTAGCTTAACCCGCAACGCGGGCATTGCAATTGGTGTCCAGTAAGTCTCATCCAAGTGTGAATCACAGGGGCTATGCACCATGAGCACTGAATTTAGGGGAAAAAAAATGTTCTTGGTTTTTTTTGTATCCTGCAGTGGTAGTTTTTGTTCCTTTGTTTAGTTTCATTTTATGGCTGTACCCTGCAGGACTTAGGGCTCACTCCTGGCTCTATGCTCAAGGATCACTCCTGGAGAAGCTCACAGAAAAAGCCATATGAAGTGACGGGATAGAACCCAGGTCAGCCACATGCAAGGCAAGGACCATACCGGCTTTGCTGCTTCTCCAACTCTCTCCAACATTTACTGTCATGTGAAGTCCTTGGTAGCCATAAAGTCAATTAAACACAGTCCACAATATTTGAGGGCCATAGTAACTCAGAAGTAACTCAAACTGACAGCAAGAGAAAATTAATTTTTTTCTCAAAATCAACCATGAGAAAATTTGGAGTTAATTTTTTCAGGACATTTTTACCTTAACTATAAATACAATTCATTCACATTTCTTTTACTATTTTTTAAATTGAACCTTGTGTGCATTTTTCATTCTTAATAAGTAAGACAATAAAATTCCTATATAATATACATATAGTCACAAAGTTCTAGCTCATTCTTTCCTGCAGACTGATACTTAGATTGCTCATAAAATCTTACTTGACAAAAGAATTTGCAAGGAATATCTTTTTTTTGTTAAGGTATTTTTCATATACCTTATCATTACCAAGTATAAGTCTCCCAAAGTACAATCACTGGATCAGTTATCCCCAGTTGTTTTTAAATGTGAAACACTGAGACTCACAGCAGAAAGCATGTGGAACTCAGAACCAGAGTGAGAGCACAGTGAGTAGGTCGTTTGCCTTGTAAGCAGCCAACCCAGGTTCAATCCTCAGCTTCCCATATGTTCCCCCAAGCACCGCCAAGAGTAATTCCTCAGTACAGAGTCAGGAATAACCCCTGAGTATACCCCCCCTAAAAAGAAAGTATGTGGAACTCATTAATACCACACTGCAAATATTCTATTTCAGCGGATGAACATCCCTCATTTCACCGTCTCTTCCTGAATAGCTTTCTGATGACTGGTGAGAGTATATGCACTTGTGTTTATGAACCAAATATGATATCACTTAAAAGTGAATTCTTCATGGAGGCAGGGGGAGGGTAGGAAAGAGGGAGTATACCGGGGATATTGGTGGTGGGAATGTGCGCTGGTGGAGGGATGAGTGTTTGATCACTGTGTGATTGTAACTCAAACATGAAAGCTTGTAACTTTCTCACAGTGATTCAATAAAATTAAATAAAATAAAAGTGAATTCTTTATGTGTGAACATGGATAAATTTTTTTTATGTAAAAAAGTAAACCCTTGAAATATTGTTGAAAAGAGCCATTTTCTTTTAGGACTCTATGTTTTTGTTTTGTTTTTGTTTGTTTTGGTTTGATTTGATTTGATTTAGTTTTTGAGGGGTCACTCCCAAGCAGTGCTCAGGGATTACCCCTGGCTTTGTGTTCAGGGATCACTCCTGACAGTGCTGGAGTGCCAGGGACTGAATCTGGGTCAGATGCATGCAAAGCAAGTGTCTTGCCCACTCTACTAGCTCTGTGACTCCAGGATTTTATAATGCTTTAAATATACATATATATATATATATATACAGGTGTTCTCAAAATTGGGGTGATTTAACTCCTAAATCTATCATGGAGCACTTTCTTCCCAGGATCTCTAGAGCTGCTTGTCTTCTCTAGAGGTGGCCCAGGAGAGCAGGGCCAGGTGGTTCCGAGAGTGCTCTGGGCTCTGGGAAGAGCGGTGTGCTGACTCAGCAAGGAGAGAACAAAGTGAGTCTGGGCGCCACACCCTCCAGGTGGAAGTGGGGGGCATCTTTCAGCAATGTAATTTCCCTCAGACACAGAGAACTTCTAAATGCCCGGCTCCACCTGACTCCAAGGCTATATAGACATTTTTCATTTTTTGCCATCATCAAGTAACTAATCACACATTCCCCAGAATATGTAAAAATGGTTACAGTTGATCTCCTCAAACACTGTCCCCCGAAAACAAATCCCTACCTGGGCCTCCCCCTTTCCTTCAGTAGAATCAACTGAGGAAAGCCTAAAAAGAGGGAAGACCTCACATATAATATTGTACTATTTTGTTTGTTTTGTTCTTAGTTTGGGAGTTATACCTGGTGGTGCTCAGGGAGCCCTCCTGGCAGAGCCTGGGACAATACTGAGTGCCGGAAGTTGAACCCAGGTTGGCTGAATACAAGACCCTACACCATCTCTCCAGGCTGTACTGTTTTTTTATTGTTGTTTGTTGTTGTTGTTTGTTTTTGGGGTCACACCTAGCAATGCATATGGTTACTCCTGGCTCTTCACTCAGGAATTACTCCTGTTGGTTCTTGGGGGACCATATAGGATGCTGGGAATTGAACACAGGTCGGCCTTGTGCAAGGCAAATACCCTACCCACTGTGCTATCATGCCAGTCCCACTCCTACTGTTTTTACATTTAATGATGTACTTTACAAATAACTGAATATAATCCACAATTCCATGGTGTTTAAAGTACATTCTTCTAAGCCATAGATGATGCTCACAAACATAATTTTTTTCTTAGTTTATCAGTGACATTTTTGGTAAGGGAGAAAGCATGTCTTACCAACAGCTCTTGTCTGAGAAACGGAAGAGAGTGCTTGGATATGTTCCTTCAGTACAATAGGCACTTCTCTGGATATCTACAAACCAGGCCAGGTTAAAAAAATAAAGAATAATGCATAAGTAAATATGAGTATAACCCTACAGAGGCTTCATGGTAGGTAACAGCTGTGCCATTTCTTACCCTTAGTACCCAAGCTTCTAGTTCAACCATCACTGCTCTTGCTTAAGGAACCCCTCTACTAACAATACCATCAAGAAAGCATCTAATATTTAGCTGCCCTAGCCCCTTGCATAATTTGATGCTTTCGTTTTCTTCCTCTGCACTGTCACTTGGTAGCAAACTTGACTTTACTCTAACTGGGCGTCAAGTGCCCTTCATCAGCTCATTATCCTTTGCACATCCATCAAATCCCAGCATGAGACAGAGAAATCCTCTGCTTGTCTTCCCCTTGACCCTGGTCTCTCCCTAGGTTTTGGTTTTTAGCCGATTCATTCATCATAAGAAGGTTTTAGAGGCTGAAGAATCCCCCAGAAACCTATTTTTCAATCCAGCTCTCTGAATAAACTCAAGGAGACAAATCCAAACCTGAATTTATTTTCTGTCTCATATCCCCTTCACAGTTTTTTCTGATACCTCGAACTCCTTTTTCTATATTCATCTTTAGGATCAATCTATCCACCTCAATGGTACGAATACAGTGATCTTTCAAAATATAAATTTCTTCTATTTGAGATCTACTAATATTCCCCATTGACTTCAGGGGAAGTAAACCGCTGTCAAGAAAGACCTTAAATTTTTTTATGAAACCTGGTAATGCTCCTAGGATCTGCTCTGTGCAAACCACTCTCATCTTTTTTGTGGGGAGACTGGGAATGAGGACAGTGCACATGTAATCCTGGCTCTGCACTCAGGAATCACTCCTGGAAGTGCTTGGGGGAATATATGGGATGTCGGGGATCAAACCCAGGTCAGCTACCTGCAAGGCAAGTGCCTTGCCAGCTTTACTATTGTTCCTGCTCCAACTCATCTTTGGTGTTCAAGCTACTACCAGAATCAGATACATTGTTCATCTCATTTAAGTACTTTTGACTGGCTGCTTCTCTCTGCAATGCCTTCTTCCCCGTTTTCTATCTAACCAATATCTTATATAGCCTTACAAATTAGCTAGGATGCAATAATCTACTCCAGAAAACTTTCCTGGGTTGCCCCTTAAAGACATAAACGTGCCCTAGCTGTAGGGTGCCCAGAAATACTTCTATGTTATAATTATCTGTCGCATTCATGAAAAGCTCTTTGGGTTAGAAGCATTCTCAAACTCTTTAATCCTTGTACTTAAAATAGTACCTGGTATAAAATGAGGGCACACCAAGAACAGACAAGTGAATAAAGAAACTATGGCACATCTACATAACGGAATACTATGCAGCTGTCATATGAAAATGAAAAATGATGAGGACGTGGAGAGTATAATGCTGAGTAAAATAAGTCAGAAGGAAAGGGAATGATTACATTCATTTGTGATAGATAGATAGATAGATAGATAGATAGATAGATAGATAGATAGAGTAGAAGAAGAATATCCAGGGTCAGGGAAAACGGGTTAGGATGACTGGTCAATGGATGGAACTAGCCATAAGTATGTGTGAGGCTAAGGGTAGGTAAAATAGAGAAGAGACCAGTAGGGCAATAATAGCTGGAAATGATCATGCCAAACAATAGCTGAGGGTTAAAAATAGGTAAGGGATATTCTTGATAACCTTTCAGTATCAATATTGCAAACCACAATGCCGAGAGAGAGAGAGAGAGAGAGAGAGAGAGAGAGAGAGAGAGAGAGAGAGAGAAGAAAAGTGCCTGCCATAGAGTCAGATAAGGGGTAGGGGGTGGGGAGTGATGGGAGGGATCCTGGGGACACTGGTGCAGAGAAATGTACACTGGTAGAGGAATGGGTTTTGGAACACTATATGAAATCCAATCATGAACAGCTTTTATGTAGACAGACTATTTGTAATAGTCTGTCTCACAGTGACTCAAAAAAAAAAGTATTGAAAAAAATATGAGTGTACACTGAAAACTACTGAGTGAATGAATAAAGACATGCATGAATGAAATATCCAAGTTTAGCACTATAATAAGCATTTCTTGATCTTGGACACTCATCATTCAACTTTTTTTCGTTTTGTTTGTTTGTTTGTTTTTGAGTCACAACTAGAAGTGCTCAGGACTTGGGGCTGGAGAGATAGCACAGCGGGTAGGGCATTTGCCTTGTACACGGCCGACCCGGATTCGATTCCCAGCATCCCATGTGGTTCCCTGAGCACCGCCAGGAGTAACTCCTGAGTGCAGAGCCAGGAGTAACCCCTGTGCATTGCCAGGTGTGACCAAAAAGCAAAAAAAAAAAAAAAAAAAGTGCTCAGGATTTACTCCTGGCTCTGTGCTCAGGAACACTCCTGGCAGGCTCAGGGAACTACATGGGGTGCTAAAGATGGAACCCGGGTCAGCAGTGTGCAAGGCAAATGACCCACCCAGTGTAGTATCTTCCCAGTCCCCTACGCCACCTAGTCTCCTTCAATTGAGCTGATATTTTTAAATAAGGAACTTATAATAGCAATGAGAAAAAAATGTTTTGTTAACCAAAATATAATTCACTTATCATGCTTATCTTCAAGATTTTGGGTCTTAATAATATGTTTGCAATTATAAGTAACAGAAGAAGGTGAATACGAGTTCCTTTGAGTAGAAAGGCAATTACATGTGTATGTTAGAGCATGGAGAGAGCCTTGTCAGAGAGGCTGTGGGTGAATGATTAGTCACCATGGATCATAAAGGCAAACGATGAAAGATTGGATCAATAAACTACCTGTATCTCTCGATATGGGATGAGTGTTGCCATTTCAGAGGGGGAAGAGGAGGGAAAATGACTGACATAGGATCTGCTCAAACAAAGGCCAGGAAAATGCCATTAAGTGTCCAAGACAGATGTAATACTCTGTTATGCTATAAGCACCAAGCCAAAACAGGGTTGCATGGCTTGATCTTCTCATAGAAATTTCAACTGTAAAGGCATTCTTGAAAATGTTTCTATGACACAAAATAAAATAACCTTTAAGAGCATTAGTTAAAATGACCACAGATGGATATTTCCAAAAGCAAAATACCTAGAGCATATTATGCTTAGTGAAAAAAAAACAGAGAAAGAGAAACATTATATGATTTTGTTCTATATGATAGAGAAACCAAACAAAAATATGAACCAAATTTAAGAAATAATCTGTTACCTAGGCAGTTTCCAGAAAGAAAGGATAAAGGTGTGAGGACAGCAAATCAGGGCAAAGAGAACAAATATATGGTGAAGAATAGAACTGGACACTTAATGTCATATACGCACTTGTTGATTTTCAATGATGTTCACCTAAAAATTATATAAAGTTACAATGCAATGCTAGTACAATAGGAAAAGTAAAGCAGTTATGTGATCTCACTTCTGAAAGCAAAATCAATAAACACGAAAAATTTACCACTGTAATTCCCAAAGCATACCTTATTCCATGTTGCATTTACAGTTCTTAAGCTTTCTGAAATTTTCTCTTTTTCATGTAAACTTAGACTTTTATCCGAAAGCATTTCCAAATCAGTTCTATTCAACCATTTGAGCTTCTCATCTTGTATGCTCATCTGCTGGTTTAAGTCCTACACGAGTCAGAGAGGAGTGTGATTAGAGTTGAAACTTCAAGAATTTTATCAATTTTCACCTGTTCCACACAGACATAAAAATACATATGTTTCCAAAAGAAAGTAATATAGATTAGAAAAGTATTCTCGTACATGTGATTCTCAATTTCTTAAATAGAAATACACATCTATGAAGCCTGAACCTGGGGCCAGAAAGACAGTACAGTGAGTGAGGTGCTTGCCTTGCACATAGCCAAACTGGATTCAATCCCTAGTACTGCATATAGACCACTGAACACTAGAAAGAGTGTGTTTGTACACTTATATAGCAGTCAGTTTGACACAGAAAGAGTTGGGAGTAGACCCTGAGCACAGCTAGTGTGAACCCCCCTCCAAAAAAAAAAAAGCTAAAAGAAAGCCTGAACTTATTTTTTTTTATTGAATCACCGTGAGGTACAATTACAAAGCTTTCATGATTGAGTTTCAGGCATACAATGATCGAACACCCACCCTTTCACCAGTGTACATTTTCCACCACCAATGTCCCTACTATCCCTCCCGCCACCTCCACCCCATCCCATGCCCTGTCTCTGTGGAAAGCCTGAACTTATGTTAACAAATTGACTGCTATATAAATGTACAAACCCACAGTGTATGTTTGTGTTCTCCTCTGCCTTCCCCTACCCTTTCCATGCCTTTCTCTTAGCAGGGACATAAATAGCACATTACAGATTAAACATCCTATTCTTAAAAAATGGGCATGAAGTCTATTTAAAAAGGGCAAGAAAGTTAAAAAAATGACAGTGAACAGGGCACAGGGGTGAACTGTAGGGTGACGGGTACAAGACTATTGAGCAAATCTATTATCTACAGATGTTGGTATACCTATCAACACACACAAAAAAACTCTATCTATACACATATTGCTTGACCTCCCAATGTTATTTCAATTTCCAAAAGAACAGGAGCATTTTGCACATCTTAATCTGCTGTCCTAGACAAATATATGGCCTCATCCATTTGTGACTGCTCCAAACTTATTCATAAAAGGATATGAAGAAAACTGCAATCTTTAAACAGAAGCAAATTATTATTTGTCATATTTTGAAAATAAGATTTAATGATCTGCTTTCCCTATCTTATTTTTCATAATCATGAAAAGTTTATTTTCCAAAACACCTTGACTATATATGCCTTAAAAAAATGTAAACTCCTCTCTGGGCACGCGCAGCTAGAAACAGCCCCGAGACAGCCGGTTTTCAACCCCTGAGCCGCGTGGGACGGGCACAGAGGCCCAGCTCTGGGCAACAAAGCTGAACGGCTCCAATTCCAACAGGTACAGCCTGCCCCCAAGGGCCTGGGTTCCTCTCTGGGCACGCGCAGCTAGAAACAGCCCCGAGACAGCCGGTTTTCAACCCCTGAGCCGCGTGGGACGGGCACAGAGGCCCAGCTCTGGGCAACAAAGCTGAACGGCTCCAATTCCAACAGGTACAGCCTGCCCCCAAGGGCCTGGGTTCCTCTCTGGGCACGCGCAGCTAGAAACAGCCCCGAGACAGCCGGTTTTCAACCCCTGAGCCGCGTGGGACGGGCACAGAGGCCCAGCTCTGGGCAACAAAGCTGAACGGCTCCAATTCCAACAGGTACAGCCCGCCCCCAAGGGCCTGGGTTCCTCTCTGGGCACGCGCAGCTAGAAACAGCCCCGAGACAGCCGGTTTTCAACCCCTGAGCCGCGTGGGACGGGCACAGAGGCCCAGCTCTGGGCAACAAAGCTGAACGGCTCCAATTCCAACAGGTACAGCCTGCCCCCAAGGGCCTGGGTTCCTCTCTGGGCACGCGCAGCTAGAAACAGCCCCGAGACAGCCGGTTTTCAACCCCTGAGCCGCGTGGGACGGGCACAGAGGCCCAGCTCTGGGCAACAAAGCTGAACGGCTCCAATTCCAACAGGTACAGCCCGCCCCCAAGGGCCTGGGTTCCTCTCTGGGCACGCGCAGCTAGAAACAGCCCCGAGACAGCCGGTTTTCAACCCCTGAGCCGCGTGGGACGGGCACAGAGGCCCAGCTCTGGGCAACAAAGCTGAACGGCTCCAATTCCAACAGGTACAGCCTGCCCCCAAGGGCCTGGGTTCCTCTCTGGGCACGCGCAGCTAGAAACAGCCCCGAGACAGCCGGTTTTCAACCCCTGAGCCGCGTGGGACGGGCACAGAGGCCCAGCTCTGGGCAACAAAGCTGAACGGCTCCAATTCCAACAGGTACAGCCTGCCCCCAAGGGCCTGGGTTCCTCTCTGGGCACGCGCAGCTAGAAACAGCCCCGAGACAGCCGGTTTTCAACCCCTGAGCCGCGTGGGACGGGCACAGAGGCCCAGCTCTGGGCAACAAAGCTGAACGGCTCCAATTCCAACAGGTACAGCCCGCCCCCAAGGGCCTGGGTTCCTCTCTGGGCACGCGCAGCTAGAAACAGCCCCGAGACAGCCGGTTTTCAACCCCTGAGCCGCGTGGGACGGGCACAGAGGCCCAGCTCTGGGCAACAAAGCTGAACGGCTCCAATTCCAACAGGTACAGCCTGCCCCCAAGGGCCTGGGTTCCTCTCTGGGCACGCGCAGCTAGAAACAGCCCCGAGACAGCCGGTTTTCAACCCCTGAGCCGCGTGGGACGGGCACAGAGGCCCAGCTCTGGGCAACAAAGCTGAACGGCTCCAATTCCAACAGGTACAGCCTGCCCCCAAGGGCCTGGGTTCCTCTCTGGGCACGCGCAGCTAGAAACAGCCCCGAGACAGCCGGTTTTCAACCCCTGAGCCGCGTGGGACGGGCACAGAGGCCCAGCTCTGGGCAACAAAGCTGAACGGCTCCAATTCCAACAGGTACAGCCTGCCCCCAAGGGCCTGGGTTCCTCTCTGGGCACGCGCAGCTAGAAACAGCCCCGAGACAGCCGGTTTTCAACCCCTGAGCCGCGTGGGACGGGCACAGAGGCCCAGCTCTGGGCAACAAAGCTGAACGGCTCCAATTCCAACAGGTACAGCCTGCCCCCAAGGGCCTGGGTTCCTCTCTGGGCACGCGCAGCTAGAAACAGCCCCGAGACAGCCGGTTTTCAACCCCTGAGCCGCGTGGGACGGGCACAGAGGCCCAGCTCTGGGCAACAAAGCTGAACGGCTCCAATTCCAACAGGTACAGCCTGCCCCCAAGGGCCTGGGTTCCTCTCTGGGCACGCGCAGCTAGAAACAGCCCCGAGACAGCCGGTTTTCAACCCCTGAGCCGCGTGGGACGGGCACAGAGGCCCAGCTCTGGGCAACAAAGCTGAACGGCTCCAATTCCAACAGGTACAGCCTGCCCCCAAGGGCCTGGGTTCCTCTCTGGGCACGCGCAGCTAGAAACAGCCCCGAGACAGCCGGTTTTCAACCCCTGAGCCGCGTGGGACGGGCACAGAGGCCCAGCTCTGGGCAACAAAGCTGAACGGCTCCAATTCCAACAGGTACAGCCTGCCCCCAAGGGCCTGGGTTCCTCTCTGGGCACGCGCAGCTAGAAACAGCCCCGAGACAGCCGGTTTTCAACCCCTGAGCCGCGTGGGACGGGCACAGAGGCCCAGCTCTGGGCAACAAAGCTGAACGGCTCCAATTCCAACAGGTACAGCCTGCCCCCAAGGGCCTGGGTTCCTCTCTGGGCACGCGCAGCTAGAAACAGCCCCGAGACAGCCGGTTTTCAACCCCTGAGCCGCGTGGGACGGGCACAGAGGCCCAGCTCTGGGCAACAAAGCTGAACGGCTCCAATTCCAACAGGTACAGCCTGCCCCCAAGGGCCTGGGTTCCTCTCTGGGCACGCGCAGCTAGAAACAGCCCCGAGACAGCCGGTTTTCAACCCCTGAGCCGCGTGGGACGGGCACAGAGGCCCAGCTCTGGGCAACAAAGCTGAACGGCTCCAATTCCAACAGGTACAGCCTGCCCCCAAGGGCCTGGGTTCCTCTCTGGGCACGCGCAGCTAGAAACAGCCCCGAGACAGCCGGTTTTCAACCCCTGAGCCGCGTGGGACGGGCACAGAGGCCCAGCTCTGGGCAACAAAGCTGAACGGCTCCAATTCCAAACAGGAGACATTCCCAACTCCTCGCCCAGTGCCAGGGACTCTTTCCGGAGCCGCGGCCGCTAACGCGGCCGCGAAATATTTTCCCACTACATATGCCATAGGAACCATAAGCTAACTTCTTAGATGGAAACTTCTCTATTTTAGCTCAGCCACTAGAAATACAGTTGCCAATAACTCATAAGCCTATCTTAACTCACACTGCATATCAAGCAGAATAGTAACACTGAACGTGAAGGACTAAACCACACCTCTCACAATGGTAAAGCAACGCAAAAGCCCACCAAACATTCATATTGAAGAGTCTAGCCCAGATGACACCAACAGTACTGTAGTGTTAGACAACCTCTCTGACAAGGAATTCAGAAGGGAGCTACTTAGGATGCTTAGGGAATTAAAAGAAACAATGGAAAGCAATGCCAATAGAAGACAAGAGGATCTGAAGGCAGAAATGAGGAAAATGCAATCAGAAATGTCAGACCTGAAAAATCTCGTAGGTGAATTGAAAAGCTCAGTGGAAGGCCTCAGCAGCAGAGTAACAGCGGCTGAGAACAGAATCAGTGAGCTCGAAGATGAAGTTCAGAGACTCTCCCGAAAAGAGCAGAAAATGGAAAAGAGACTCACAATTCGGGAACAGATGGCAAGAGAAGATCGTGATGAAGCCAAGAGGGGTAACATAAGAATTATTGGAGTCCCAGAGGGACAGGAAGAAAACCTCGATGAAGAAGAAACTGTCAAAGACATCATTGCTACAACATTTCCAGAGCTGAAGAAAACTTGTGACCACATTCAGGAGGCCCGAAGGGTACCAGCTAGAAGAAATCCGAATAAAAATACCCCAAGACACATTCTGATCAAAATGACCAAAACCTTAGACAGAGACAAAATTCTGAAAGCAGCAAGATCGAAGAAAGAAATCTCTTACAAAGGAGCATCCTTAAAATTCACAGCT